TATATATATATTTTTTTTTTTTTTTTTTGGAAGGCTTCGCCTCACGGTGAAACCCTAGCCTCTGCTACCAGTAATTTCACGCTCGTAGAGAAAGGGGAGTACGCTCCTCTGTTCAGCCGTCTACTTCGCCGAGCTGCGTCTGTGCTCCCTGCTTGTTGTAGGGTCGATCGCGCTCTACAGCTCCTCTCTCGCAGTTTCGACCTGATCGCGGCTCGTGTTCTGCTGTTTCGAGCAGTACACGTCTGTTTCTTCCGTCCTGCACCTATTTCCATGGGTTCGACTTCTGACGCTTCGACCTGACGCGCGTCCATTCGCTTCTGGTAGCACTCCATCAGATCGGACTATCTGTTTCTTTGGCTTTTGCATCTGTGGGCTCGAGGATCGTCGTTATGGCGCTTCCTTCTTCTTCGGTTGATCCTGGCAAAGCTTCTTTCATCCACGTGGTGGTAATCATATTGCAGAATCTACTATTGCAGAATCTACTATTGTCTTCCCCTCAAGCTATAAGGAATGTCGTGATGGTACGAGTGATTGCCCTTTTCTTAAGAAGATAAGTAGGAAAAGTGGGAAAACAATACTATTTTTCTCTGATTCAGAAATTTCAACCCTAACTAGAAATTCAAGTTCGCTCTTATTGGGAAATTTCAGTGGGGACACCCACCTATTAAAATTATCAGAAAGAGAGTAGAAGAGTGTTCACGGTCTCAAACTTGTAGGCAAGTGGAAAGTGAGACTTTTGGATGGAAGACATGTGTTGATTCAGTTAACCTTAGCTGAAGACTGCTCGGATTTTCTCTAAAAAATATCTCAATATTGCAAGCAAGTCAATGAAGTTACTCAAATGATCTTCTGCTTTTGACACAAATCACGAGTCTCCCACTGTTCCGGTATGGATTAGTTTACCTGGTCACAAGTTGCATTTCTTTAATCATCAGATTCTTTATTCAATTGGAGTCATTCTTGGAGATTCTATGAAGTTAGATATGCCTACCTTTAACCTAATCAAACCTTTTGTGGCCAGAATACATGTGGAAAGAGATATTACCATACATGATATTACTGAAGTCTGGTTGAGCACAAC